CTGAGTCTCTGTGTCTATCTATATCCTTTTCTCTATAATTACTTTTACTTCAATCTTTCCTCCTCTATCTTCACCTTTACTTTTATCGGTATCCTCATCCTCATCTCTTTCTTTATATATATCTTTGTTTTTCTCTTATGTTTATCATTTTCTTCTTCTACATACCTTAATCTTAATTTTTGCCTTTATCTCTACGCATCTTTGTTTTTGTTTTCATGTTTACCTTTGCCTTTATCCTTTTCTTTATCTATGTACGTACTTATCTTCACTTTCACTGTAACCTTTTATTAGCACAATTTTTGTTAAACTAATACCATGGGATAGCATTTAAGAAGCACTTGTTTCCGTCCCAACCATTTCCGTTGCACCATTTCCGTGTGCAATTTCCGTTGAATTTGCCAATTTACTTCCAACCAACCAACCGCCGCTAAAGAAGTTTCGGACGTACTGTTTGAACCTCTAAAACTACTGTACGAGAAGAAAAATGACAACAACAAAATATTAAGGACAGACATGCACTGCAAAAACAAAGAAAGTAACATCACGGACTTCTACCTGCCGTCAAAAACGAGCCAAAACAATTCATCTACCTTTTGAGCACCGCAAACACTGTAAAACACCATTTTTCACCATTTGGTCTCCGAGGAGTACTTTTGGGTTGTGTGCAGCGTTTTCGTTTTGCGCGCACGGCAACACTTACTATGGGGAATTTCACCTCATGATTAGGAAAAGTTCTTTTCGAAGCTAAAATATACATAATTATGTGTTATTTATGAACAAAATGTAGGTTAAGCATAATATTCATCTTTAATGTATGCTGATATTCATGCTTAATGAAGAATAAAATCAATAGTTAAGTACATAATTAACGCTTGTGTTTTATAAACTGGAAAACTCAAATCGTAATTATAGCACTGAATGGAGTTTTCTTAAATGTAAGTTTAAAATTAAAAAAAAAAGTCTATTGTAAGATTATATTTTTATGAAAAACGTAATTTTTTTTATCAAGCAAAATCCTAAATTTCCGAATATATTTAAGCCTTTATTAAAAAAAAACAAGGTTTGTATAGCTACACAGATCCAAAAGCCTGCCGTCGCATCCGCCCAGACAGTCCAATAAGCATACCCAAGTTTGAGTGATCTACAAGTTACTAGCATTTTCAGTATTTAACAGTTCATTATCGTGTACGGTGTAATATAATAAGTTATACACTGAACTATAATAATCTGTACTAGTATCTATAAAAATAGACAATAATTTGCAATGTTTTTACACTTTTGCAATTAGTTTCGGTCACTACTACACAGTCATGACTTGTGCCACTTTGCCATAGTACGGATTTTGCTCCCTTTCATACCACAGTAATTTTGTATACAACTCTAAATCAACAAAATTGTAAAACTTAAAGTTTTTGTACATGCGAAGGCCATACACTTTCATTTGGTATCTTATTTTTTTATACAACGAACGGTGAAGACCTTATAGCTTTTAAACAGGTGGCAACCCTACTCAGAAAAATAATACATTATTACACATCCAGAGGCTAAGTCTTTTCATTTGACAGTGACGGTACAGAAATTATGCCTACGCTTATTATGATTGAATATGGTAATTTTATTTACAGATAGCAACCCTATTAAAAAAAAATTGTGCTTTTCTAGAGGCCAATCCCTTTCATTTGACATCTCATCTTTTGTAATCCAACGAACGCTTATCTTTTAGATACGTGGCAACCCTATTAAAGTAGGAGGTGTAAAGAAAAGATCCCTCTCCTGTCGATACAGAGTATAGTTATTCGAGAAAATCTCGTCAAAATCCGTTCAGTAGTTTTCGAGATTACCGCGTACAAAGAATCTCAACTTTCCTTTATACTGTGTATAGATGAATAAGGCCATAAATTGTTAGGCACCTTTGTCTGCTTTTAATACAATTTCCTTCTCAAATTAGGTACAATTCCAAAAATATCATTTTCCATCTTTGATGTGAATTCGCTCACACGAACTTAATAATTGAGTAGGGAAGCCAACTCGTAGGGAAGCCTCGATTTGCGGGGTATTTCAGTCTGCGTGGAAAATCGGGGAATGGACCGTTTTTTGTGGGGAATTTCAGTTTACATGGGAAGGCGGGGGATGAACTGTTTTTTGTAATTTTTTGCTTCACTAATTTCATACTGATTTATAAAAAATGTAAGTATAAATGTCTCACCCGTCACCGTGGAATGAGCCGTATGCAGTTTTGTAGCTCGTTCAATTCTTGTATAATAAAGTTTGAAATGACTAATGATTACCGTTGATTTTTTAGAATTTTCTTTGTAGCGTTTGCTTTCATATAAAGAATAAACACAATTTATTTTTTGTGGAAGAAAACCGTAATTCCTTCGGCAAAAAAAACTCTAATACGACAATTTTTAGGTACTTGAAACTTGCTCTTTTCATATTAGAATTGAGCGGGCTACAAAACTGCATACTCTAGAAAATCTAATTAAAAAGTTTGAAATTGGTATTTAAACGGTTTGATAAAGAATAACTCAAATTAAATAGCAAAAAAATAATAACCGTGAACCGCTGTATGTATACAAATATTATATGTAAATTTTTTATTCTTTATTTGTTAACAAACTTAATAAAAGTTTGGTTTGGTTTATGAAGACTTAGATGAATTATACATACTAGTGTTCGCCCAGCGGTTGAAATTCAACCGCTAAAATTAAGGATAGTTTATGTGAGTTGAGTTGAGCTGAAATAACATTAGTTGGAATGGGTTAAGTGGAGGGGAGTTTAGCTTAGTACTTAGCATAACATAACATAACATACCATAACATAAGATTAAATAACATAAAATATGTAGCATAACACAACACAATGTAACATCGCACATTCTTGTCTCTATCGCTTTTAATGTTTAGGTTTATCTTCACCTTCATGTTCATGTTCAAGTTCATGCTTATGTTCATGTTCATGTTCGTGATCATGTTCATGTCCATGTTCATGTTCATGTTCATGTTCATGTTCATGTTCATGTT